ACTTTCTAGACTCAATTGAAAACCTCTCTAATCCTCTCCCCTCCGCAGAGGTTCGAAACGCTCTTTATAGGAAGCCGCTTGTTAGGTGAGTGCAGGCGCAAAGCCCGGCGCCTGCATTCATATCGTTCAGTGGATTCTACCCACCCGAAGTGAAAACCCTTTGAGCCTCTGCTTAGGGGAGAGGCTCTAATCCGTTAGCTAATTATGGGATATTTCCTTTGCTGAGGGTTGGAACACGCAACTGATGTGAAAGAAAAACACTCACCTTGGGAATCGCGTCCTCTTTTTGTAGAACCTTTTAATGGAAATAAGGAACCATATCAATTTAATTTTTTTTTCTTCACTTCGAATGCGAATATTGACACAAAGTAATTGTCTGATTACTTTCTACACTCAGTTGAAAACTTCTCCAATCCTCTCGCCTCCGCAGAGGTTCTAAACGCTCTTTACATAAAGCCGCTGTGTTAGGTGAGTGCAGGCGCAAAGGCCTGCGCCTGCACTCGTACCTTTCAGCGGATTCTACCCACCCGGAAAGAAAAACCCTTGAGCCTCTGCGGAGCAGAGAGGTTCTAATCCGTTTTGCCAAAGGGAATCTTTCCTTTGACATCAATCTACGTTGTACAATTATTTATGACATCAAGTTTTGTGTTTCCATTCATGTTTTCTCCAATGGCGAAACGTTTCTCTATACTCTTCTATATATCAAATTACACTTGCGCCAATCACGGTGTTTTCAGTTGGCACGACGAAGGACCAATGTACGAAACGCTAGTTTACAATACCCGTCAAAACCAACAAATTTATCTTCGTGAGTTAAAAATTAACAAAGCCTTCAGTCATCGACATACAGACTCAGTGTTAGGGGTGATTGTTTAAAGACATTCATATATAGTATCTCTTTATAGTTCAATGACATGAGACAGCAACCCTCCTCTAGGCGAAGACTTGAAATCTTACTATTAGAACACATTGTGGTGTAACGCGCCCTCCATCCCTCCCCCAGCCCCATCCACCACGACACATACTAACAATTGTGCGACATAAGTATGGCTACATTTTCGGGATTGCACAATTGTGATTGAAGAGCAGTAAGAACTTGGCAAGGTAATACAAGGGACGTGTCGCAATGACCTGTGGGTTTAAAATGCACAAAAAACGCGCCCTCCATCCCTCCCCCAGCCCCATCCACCACGACACATACTAACAATTGTGCGACATAAGCATGGCTACATTTTCGGGATTGCACAATTGTGATTGAAGAGCAGTAAGAACTTGGCAAGGTAATACAAGGGACGTGTCGCAATGACCTGTGGATTTAAAATGCACAAAAAATAGATTTAGGGAATCATCTGGTGAAAATGACAGAGACGTTTTAAAAAGGCAGCACTAAACTTAAGGAACAATTTTCTATAAGCAAAGGAATGAATAGCATTTTAGGAGACCAAAGACGTAGAATCTCTAGAGAAATACAAACAAGATAAGAAGTAAGACAGAATCTTACCATTATAAAAAGGAAGAAGCCCCCCGGCTCTTTCATTGGCTATTCCAGCTTCCAATTGGTTAACCGGCTGAAGGGATCCTAGTTCGTTAAAAGGTCTGGCAGATCCTGGCAACTCATCTAGTTTAGATTTAAACAAATGTACATAGATAGCAAAAACCTTTTAGAAAAGAATCTGAGCTGTATGTTGTTCGCAGGGATGGTATATAGGGGTAGATCATATCAAATAAAAGTTACTAAAGACAGAAGTAAACCGGATGAAAGAAAGAGATATTGTTTTCAATTGTAACAATAACAAACATAATTGTAACAATTGTCTCTGTTGTTGTTAACTGCATGTGCATGTACATGCCTATAACTATAAGATTTGAAATTCGGATAAAATACAAATGTACCAAGTACCCCCTTCCACCCTTCCCTCGTTCCAGTGCACGCGTAAATGAGCAAAGAAATGAAAGATGATGTGGCCTCATACATAAGTCACACTTGCTTCGGACCATTTTTTACAAGGACTACTCATGGAGTTTCCAACGACATTTCAGCAGTCTTCAAGCACTCATTTTTGTCAGGATCACATTCAAAATTTGTTTCATCAGGATCGCATTCAATACAGTTTAATCAAACGGCCCCACTGAAGACGAAATTACTTACTTCGTTAGATCTACTCCACATAATAGTCCCTTAACTCTGGAATCATCAAAATCGACTATCGAACTTTTTGAAACAAACAATGTTCTTCTCGACTTAATTATATCCATGTCAATTGTTTCCCTTGCCTGTTTTGGTAGCAGAAGTAATTATTGCTTTTTATCTCATAGTTCCAAGCAGTCAAGGACTTCTTAAATACTATTTAAGAAGTGGTGGTAAAAATTCAAGGACTTTTTAAGGCTTATGCGAACCATGGTCATAGAAATCTTCCGTTACTCAGAATTACGTTCAATCAACGTTAATTACACGAGGTGTGAAGGATCAGTGCCGTTGTCTTTGGACAGTTTCTCCCATCACTTGCTTGATTACAGATACAAAATGTTCCTAGTAGATGGAGTTGTTGTTCAAATGGTTGAAATAATTGGTGAAGGGGAATCCTCTGTTTTAGCACGTGGCACTTAACATGAGAATTCACCCAAACTGTGCATCCACCCAACTGAGCAACTGCACTTGAGGGTCACGCTTTGTCCTGCCTAACATCGAGCAATTACATGTAAGCACCGAGATATTCCCATTACATTTTTACATCAAATCATTTTTTCAGGGATTGAATGAATTTATAGTAAGTTTAAAGTCAGTCACACAGGTTGTCAATTCGAGACTGTAGTTTGATGGTGACATTTAAAAGTAAAAATGCCAATTGAGTTCAACATTAGAAAAGACATTGACAAGTTTGGTCTGTTGCATGTGGGATATACATTTATCTTTAGAAAATATAGTTACTGATCGTCACTAACCTGTTGCCTGCCTGCCAGTTAGCTGTTGGCTGACAGTTGACCAGCAGGTTTTTCTGTCCTTCCAATTAACGAAATTTGGTGAGTTGAAATTAGAACGTTCATTTTCCTATAGCAATATTTTACCATTTATGCTATGATTAAACTCTCCTTGACTACTGCAAAACCAGTAAGTAGAACTGTGTACAATCCAAAACATTTTGAACGTGAACGCAGGCCACTGCAAGTGGATGATTACCTTTGCGGTGATGACTAGATTGAGTAGCAGCACCAGGTAACCATTGTTTACCCTTTTTTGCAGGACCTTCTCCGCCTTCTACAGAACCTAAAAGAAGAAACGTTTACTACACACATGCACCTTGCTAACAAATCAAACACAGAAAACGAAGAGGCAGCCTATTTGTAGAGCTTTCAGCAAATATCATGTTATTTTAGCCATCGAGTGAAAGTTCACATCTTTGACTAATTTTGATACCTACATGTACAAGTGAACTGAGGTAACCACTCAGCTTAATACTCTACAGGATAGTAAAGAAAAAAATTATAAAAATGCCGTTGATTTTACCAAAAGTTAGGTGCCACATCTTTTTCACAAGAGAACCACACTGTTTCTCCCAGCTGTACTTCGCAGCAAACTTTTCACGAAGAAGGTTGGCATCTTCAAGTCGAACCTCTCTGCCCTTTTGACGGACATTTTTGATAGCCTTAGCCCATTCTTTTGTATCTTCTGAATCTACTACATGATAGGAACCTGAAGGAACCGTCTCCAGAGCATCTCCAAGTCCCGAGTTACCACTCACAAGTACAGGAAGACCAGCAGATAGAGCTTCTAGAGCAGTCAAGCCAAAGCCCTCAGTCCTTGATGGCATGATTGTGAGATCTACCGAACAGAACAACTTGGCCAGCTCTTCCCTACTTTCCTTAAAGCGGCGAACAGTTAGCTGCCTTTGACGGATACCATACTCGAGTAATTTTGTTGCCACTTCATCCTCTTTTCCTGCTGGTGCTCCAACGAACATGAGTTGGTACGATGTGTCGTCCAGTTCAGCAACTGCTTGTACAGCAATGTCATATCCCTTCAACTTGAAATCTTCATTATCACCACGTCCAAATACCAAAACACAAAACGTATTTCTTTCTTCAGTGGCTTGTTGAACATTGCAAAACTCCGTGAAAATGCTTGGGGTTAGATTTATAACATCTTGATCTTTCCCACTGAAACGGAGGTGACGGGAGTAAGCATCTGCCAGCTTGGGTCCAACAGCAACAACTTGATCAGCTAGCTCACAGAGTTTTACTTCTGCTTGGTGCTTTTGCTCTCCTTTGGAAATTGCTTCTTCATAACTCTTGTACTTCCCAAGCTCTTCAGGATCTGTGTGGACAACTTGAATCCACTTGCAATCATGATGTTCCTTTATGAGTGGTATTTGTTTACCAAGGTGAAGACCATGTCCAATTACACAGTGAGGAAGATGATTTTTCGGCAAAGAGGCCAACCAGTCGATTTTCTCATATCCAGGACGTTTTTCCGCTTCAATGAGCTGAACACTGTGACTTCCAGCAACTTTCTTATCTTCTTCGCTACACTCGGGAAGATAGACACAAACTTCCACATTATGGTGTTTAGCCAATTCTATTGCAAGTTTTCTGCTGATCGTCGACAAGCCTCCCTTTGATGATCTCCACTCACTACTTAACAGAGTAACTCTCAATAGTTGGTTGATGGACACTCTTGATCCTTCTTCCATGCCCTCCTGAGATGTAGAGGCTGCACTGCGAAAGGATGATCCCTTTAACAGGAGATAATAAAGACATTTCAAGAGTTGATCGAATCAATTTAATCGGTGTCACTAAGAGTCTGAAAAGGGTTCGGGCAATCTGCTGTTAATTCGAACATTTAAAATTTTGTCACTGCCCAAGAAATTTCTTAAAATAACAGCAAGCCTCAAAACATGATACAATATGTAAATAGAGCAGTGAGGCTTAGTTTTTGTTTTGATGAAAAATCAGAAAAGTGTGGCATTGGTTAAAAGGTCCATTACTGTAAGTCATCAGATGCGATTTGAGGTTGATTATGTGAAAAAGCAAGATAGCGTGATTTTAAAAACCGTATTATTACTGGTTCCAAACCTGAAATTTGTACCTTCATGTATTTCAGCCAAATAAAAGGTTAAACCAAGCTGGGTCAAATAAAAAGGGAAAACCACGAGGACTTTTTCCTTACAATCGAATAGCTGTTATTGTAGTTATCAGCGGCTTGACACACAAACTAAGCAAAAGGGTCAATTCCACGCCCGCGGTTGAAACTTATAATCTGGCGTAATCATGAGCTTTTTAGAGGGTCGCAAGACCGCGGTGTTCTTTATTAGAGACTTTTCGACAAATGCTACGGTGACCTCAACGAAACTGTTCTCTTTGATTTCCGAAATTTAATTTCAGAAGCTCAACCCTCCAGTAGTATTACCATCGATATGTAGAGCGGATTGCCTCTTGTCAACCAGAATCTTTACTAAACTTCGGAGCGGAAAGTTACCATAACAGCTTCCAGCAACTTCACCTCTCTCAGCAAAAACGTTACCAATGCGCATTACAAAAGCCAACATTTGGTCTTATTCACAGTTAACTGTTAATTTAAGATTAGAATTGTGATAGAAATGTTAAATGAACTACACCTAGAAATCAAACTAAACAACTTTCCATTTTTAGAGCAACAATCACAGTCATAGACCTTGAACGATAGATGTGCCTGCAATATTGACTATTAGTATAATTTCATAGCTGAACAAAGAGTTTCCAGCAATCTGATTGGTTGAGCGGTTCCTCATATTACGACTGCAGCGAATACCGTCCAAATAACAGTACAAATGTACGGCGATATTGTACAGTAGAAAACCTGTTTGCCATATTTGTACAGCAGAAAACCTGTTTGCCGTAAAGGCCGGCGCGCGCACGCAAAACTGTCACATTCTCCATCTTTCATTGATAAATTTATTTACTACAGCAGTTGGATAATAAATCTCTTATTAGCTGTTTTGGTGTGTAGTATCGCTGTATATTTTTACTCGTTGTTTGTATTTTGACTCGCCCTACGGGCTCGTTAAAATACGACACAACTCGTAAAAATATACAGCGTTATTATATGGCAAGGTAGTCTTGAGGTAAATCCGAGCGTTCTGATTGGTTCTTTCGTGGTCGGGATTTCGCCATACGGTCATAAGCTGTGTATTTTTTGTTTTCGAAATCCGGCAAATTCAAAACAAGCATGGCCCGAGTGCCATATAATAAACTACTTACTAACCTAGCTAG